AACCATAAAGAAAAAGCAAGGACACACTTTTTTTGGTTACTTTATAAGGGAACCAGCAGCAAAAAAAAAAAAAAACAGGTACCACTGGGCTACCAAAGATTGCTGGGTTTAGGGAAAACCCTAAACCCTAAACCCGAAACCCTGCACCCTGAACCCTAAACCCCAACCATGATTGCTGGGTTCACCGACATCAGCTCCATGGCTCTTTCCGCTGTTGGGCTTGGAACGTGCCAAAAGGGGATCCAGCGTCGGCCCCCCCAAAATCTCAAAACACCTGCCGGGGTGCCCGTGACCCTAAACGCTAAACCCTAAACCTTAAACCAAGGTTTGTGCCAACAGTGGCCCTGCTTCTGAACGCTTTGTTGCATGCAGCGGCGTGTGGCCTCTACCTTGAGGCTCGCGCTGAGAGGTGCGGAGACGCTCTGAAATGTTGGTGTTTGGGTTTCGGGTTTAGGTTTTAGGATTTAGGGTTTTGGGTTTCGGGTTTAGGGTTCAGGCGTTCGGGTTTAGGGTGAAGTAAGGGCTTGGGGGATTTTAAGGTTGCAGACTCCGGAGTTTAGTGCTCATGACGCACAAGCCTCTTAAGAGGCTGCGCGAGTTCTTCAAGATTGTCTTCCATCACTGGGAGCGCGAGGCAGAGAGGTGGAGACAGAGACATAGCAAGATTGCACAAGCGCAAGTTTAGGGTTTAGGGTTGAGGGTTTAGGGTTTACAGAGAGAGAGGGAGGGAGAGAGAGAGCGAGAGAGCGAGCAAGAAAGTGAGGGAGAGAAGCAGGATCAAGCAAACAACAGGCAAGGGTTTAGGGTTTAGGGTTTAGGGTTTAGGGTTTAGGGTTTAGGGTTTAGGGTTTAGGGTTTAGGGTTTAGGGTTTAGGGTTTAGGGTTTAGGGTTTAGGGTTTCGGGTTTAGGGTTTAGGGTTTATAGAACTCAGACAGAGGGCAACCTGGCAGAGTTGAAAGGTGGAGTAGAACAGAATCATGGGCTCAGAGGCAGCTGCAAAAATGAATCAAGCAATGAATGCGGTTACATGACCCGGAATGTACATCCCAGACGGCTGCTTCTGACCTAGACCCTAAACCCGCCCTAAACCCTAAACCCTAAACCCTAAACCCTAAACCCCCAAACCCCAAACTTGAAACCATAACCCCCGGCATGCCCATCGTCTCTTCTTTGCTGCGCTGGCTCTTCACTTCTGGACCGGGTAACTCTTCTGAGCCTCTTCCCAAGTTTTCCTCTGAGGCTTCAGAAAAAAGGATCTGGAGCTGAGCGAAAGGTCACGGCTTAGGGTTGAGGCTTTAGGGTTTTAGGGAGAGGGTTCACGGCTTAGGGTTGAGGCTTTAGGGTTTTAGGGTCTCCCTCTTTGGGGGGGAGAGGGGGGGGGGGGGGGTAGCGGGGGGTACCCCGTCAGCTTTTCCGTGGAGGAACAGGCCACCCACACCACGTAAACTCTTGGACCATCGGCGGAAAAAACCCCTTTTTGCCCCCTTCTCTGCATCATCGACCCTCCCCTCTACCCGCCCCCCTCCGCCCCACCCCCACCCCCCACCCCCCCCCCCCACCCCCCCCCCACCCCCCCCCCCCCCCCACCCCCCCCCAACAGGAACCGCAAACAAAATCACCAAACCCCAAACCTTAAACTTGTTCTCCTGGGGTCGGCGGCTTGAGCCGGAGGCTCTTAAATTTAGGGTTGAGGGTTTTGCGAGTTGAAATCCAACCTCTTAAGAGCTGCGCATCGCAGGTTCTAGTCCTCTACGAGCTTCTGCCTGTTTCCTGAAGAAATCCCAAAGATGCCAGAACATCATCCCTATAATATTACCCCGACTAGGAAGAGTAGTTCCATTTTGGAGAGTTCTTCCTAAACCCTAAACCCTAAACCCTAAACCCTAAACCCTAAACCCTAAACCCTAAACCCTAAACCCTAAACCCTAAACCCTAAACCCTAAACCCTAAACCCTAAACCCTAAACAAACCCTAAACCGAGATGTTCAACTAGTCTTGTGGTTGATGCATTCTCCACCCAAGTGTTCGGTTCGTGGAACCCCATCCAGAGATGTCCACGTCGCCGTTCGACGTTCTTTAGTGCACTTTATCTAGGTCGCTCTGCCTGGCAGCTCCCCCTCCTGCAGCCATAAAACCCGGAAACGCTAAACCCCCTAAAACCCTTAACACCCTTAAAACCCCTAAACCCTAAACCCCCTGAAGCCCCTAAACCCCCAACCCCTAAACAATAGTCCCTAAACCCTGAACCCTAAACCCTAAACACTAAACCCTCAACCTGTCCTGCTGGAGCAGAGCTCGTCCAGGAGCTCCCCCACATCCGCGGCGGGCAAACGGATCTGCCTTGGTGTTGTGGATCCCGTAACCGAACCCTGGCTTAGGGCTTTTAGGGTTTAGGGTTTAGGGTTATATAAGGGTTTGTGGCTTTTAGGCTTAGTTGCTGAGTTCATAAGCCCCCCAAAAGTGTACTCCTTCAGTTCTATAGGGGATTATAGTATCCCAAGAAGTGTCGGCTTTCGGGTTTAGGTTTTCGTATGCAGCCTGGCAAAGACCGCGGGTGGCTGCCATGGCACCCAGATGAACCAACCAGGACGGGCTATTGCACCCTATACAGTCCCTTAAAATAATCCCTTGAAGTAATCCCTTTGAATACTCCCTTCAATGCTCCTTTACAGAAGCCATTAAAATGTTTCCTTAAAACGGCCGTGTATAGGGCTTGAATATGGCTTCTATAGGGCCTACATGCTAGCCGATCCAGGAAGATGACAAAGTGGTATAAATGCGTGCCTCTGGATGCTGTCGGAAAGCAGCTCCCTTGATGGCCGTGACTCGCGGCTGCTTCTCACGTGTGGCTCCGAGATACGTTGAGAGCCCTATACACCCAAAACCCTATAAGTCCTACACCCCCTAAACTGACTTGCGCCCCAACAGCCGATATCAACCCTGTAAAGCTCGAAGTCTAGGAGACATGAGCATATAAACCCTACAAGCCCCATACCCTAAACTCGAAGTTTACGTTCTAGCCCACAACTTCGAGTTCTACCCTGGACCTGACTTGTTGTGCGCAGACCTTGGATTTTAGGGTTTCGGGGTTTAGGGCTCAGGGAGTAGGGGCTTTAGTGAGTTATAGAGAGGACTAATATGCAGGGCCAGAGTGCTTAACCCTAAACCCTAAACGCCAAACTTACACCCCCTTATAACCCCTAGAAGGACTGTGATCCCAACCCTAATCCCTAAACCCTAAACCCTAAACCCTAAACCCTAAACCCTCAACCCCAGAAGGCCTCGCAGCATTTAAGGCGCGAACACCATGGAGTCGCGCTCGCGAAGCGTGACGGTGCTGTCCTCCGAGGCTCGCAGGCATGGAGTCTCAGGAGTTTAGCGTTTAGGGTTTAGGGATTAGGGTTAACGTTTAGGGTCTGGGCCCTTTTGCAAAAACCTGAAACTAAGATACGCTTACATCCCACAAGGGCAGAGACGAACATATCGCTCAGGAACCGGGCTCTGATTGTCTTCATGCCTCATTGACTTCGCTTCAGCTTCAGATCTCTGTTAGATGTTGACCATAAACCCTCTGAACTGGCTGGTCCTTAGTAGGTACCCTACATAATCACTTAAAGGGCAATTAGCTCATTTCCTACTAAGAACCAGGGGGATAACCCAAACATCAGCCCGGAATCCAAACGACAAAAACAAACCCTAGGATGTCCCAAGAAACACTCTGAAACAGAGGTTTGGGGTTTAGGATTTAGGATAACATTCCAAAATATGCTCCTCTTAAACTCAATAAGGGAAAAATCTAAACTATCCCAAGGGCTTACCTAGGACCTAGAATCCGTACAACGCTAAATGCCCTGACCTTACGGAGACTCTTCAGCAGCCCTCCGCTGCACGAGCCGCTTCGGTGGTTTTGTTTGGTATTTCTTGCCTTGGGATTCAGGGTTGAGGGTTTAGGGCTGGGATTTGTTTAGGGTTTGGGGGTTTAGGGGTGACTTTTAAGGGCTTAGGAATCAGTCCTCCAAGCTCGTGAAATCAATCGTGCACGCAAACGGAATGCCCAGCTCATCATTGCGGGCATACCTCGCTACAGGTTTGCCGGAGAGCTATCCCCCTTCTCCAAAACCTTCAGGGCCTTTAGGGCATGTTGGGTTTAGGGCCCTAAACCCTAAACCCTAAACCCTAAACCCTAAACCCTAAACCCTAAACCCTAAACCCTAAACCCTAAACTTGATAATTTAGGGCCTTTAGGGTTATAGGGCCTTCAGAGTTGAGACCCTCAGGGTTTGGGGTTTAAATGTATTACAGTGTTCTTAAGGGCCGGGGGCTTCCAGGGATTGTAGGTATCTAGGGAACCTCTGGGAGGCTTTTGGGTGCGTTATAAATGGAGGTGGGGAGTCTTAGGGACCCCTTGCGTTGCACACCCCCCTGAACCCCCCTCCTTTTGAAAACCCTATAAGTTTAGGGTCTACCGCCGGAGTGGAACTGAAAATAGAAAAATCACAAGAGGAGTCGACAAGGGGCTAACTCGTTTACAGCGCCGAGCATGGCAGCCCATGTTTTTCCGGTTCAGGATTTAGGGTTGAGGGTTTAGGGTCCCACATGTACTATTTAGTAGGCCCACCCCGAAATAATCAAAAAACAACAGCACAACCTTCCTCTCCATATCTCCCTTGCCTTGCTGTGTCCAGTCGGAGTTTCGAACATCCCTAAACCCTAAACCCTAAACCCTAAACCCGAATTAACCCTAAAGTCGGGGCACCTCTTTCCAAGCGTCGCATTGCTGTCATCCACTGTACAGGTATGGCCCAGCTCCGTAACCTGCCGGGCACGAGGAACCGATGCTGGGTTTAGGGGTTTAGGGGTTTAGGGGTTTAGGGTTTAGGGAAGAGCAGGCAGCACATGGAATCTTCTCTAAATCTGCGCCCCTTATAGGAGCAGATAAGAAGTCCAAATTTGGAACGGCACCCTTCCCCCCCCCCCCCCGTCCCCGTACCTCAATTTATCAGCCCAAAGTGCCCAGAGACAGAATAAGTGTAGTCACAGCACTTGCAGCCACGACAAACACACCAACTGCCTGGGTCTGCATCAGATACATCAAGTCGGGGTACTTCTCATCACGCTGGATCCTCTGATCCTGGCGGTTTAGGGTTTTTAGGGTTTTTAGGGTTTTTAGGGTTTAGGGTTTAGGGTTTAGGGTTTAGGGTTTAGGGTTTAGGGACAAACTTGCCAGCTGGTGCTCACAATGACTGGCTCCCTTGAACAGAGGCTCCACAGACCCGAGCAGCTGTTTGAGCAAAGAGCATTCCCGAGGAGAAAGCTCGTTTGATCACCCTAGGCTTACCAAAGGTTCTGAAGTGTTGAGACTCCAACTCCAACTATGAAGCTGGGATGCAGCCCCTAAGAAGATGTGGGGACTTCCGAAAATGATAGAGGCACCCTTTTTGGGGGGTCCCTTTAAGGAGATTCTATCCTATTTGGGGTACCCTAACCCGAAACCCTAAAGCCTAAACCCTAAACCGTAAACCCTAAACCCTAAACCCTAAGCCCATGTAGGGAGGACGGGCCTGCGGCAAAATCGCCATCTTGTATGGCGCGATGGCAGATCTCGGCAGCACTCGGCAGGGTCACAAGCATTTTGAGGATCCCTAAACCCTAAACCCTAAAGCCCTAAACCTGAAAAAAACCCTAAACCTGAAAACCCTACACTTTAACCCTAAACTTTAAACTCTATTTCCTCAGCCCTAAGCCGTAAAGCCTAAGACCAAAGCCCGTCTGCGAACACGGGAGTTGGAAAAGCATACCCACAAGCAGCCCGCGCACCTGAACCCCAAAACCCCTGGAAAGTTGGGGTTTAGGGTTTAGGGTTTGGGGCTTAGGGCTTAGGGCTAGGGAGATCTAAACCCCAACACCTCTGTAGCACCTGGCTGCCCCCTGCGAGGCCCCGGCGGGAAGGACAGCACACCGCGCGTCTGCTTTTCATCGCTCGCCTCCTGCGCGATTCCCTCCCCATGTCACTTCGGAAGTTTTAGGGTTTAGGGTTTGGGGTTTAGGGTTAAGGTTTAGGGTTTAGGGTTTAGGGTTTAGGGTTTAGGGTTTAGGGTTTAGGGTTTAAGGCTCCTACAATCACCTACCAGGAAGGCTTCCTCTGGATATAAGAAGCCTCATAAGGGGGTTCTAGGTTTTAAGTATGATGACTTAGGTTCTGCCCCTCAACTACAGTTAGTACAGGGGCCTCTTGCACACCCCCCCCCACACTGCCCTACATGTCAAGTTAGTCTACATAGCTGAACTAAACCCTAAACCCTAAACCCTAAACCCTAAACCCTAAACCCTAAACCCTAAACCCTGAACCTGAGCCCCTGTCCCACATGCCTTCGGCCGCGCGTAGTAGGTGTGCTCGAGCACCGAGAACAGGATGCGGTCGATCCCGAAGGAAGGCTCCACCACACCGGGAGTGAAGGTCGTGGTGGACTGCTTCTCCTGCACAAGGTTTAGGGTTTAGGGTTTAGGGTTTAGGGTTTAGGGTTTAGGGTTTAGGGTTTAGGGTTTAGGGTCAAGGGCGATGACTGTCAAACCCTAAACCCTAAACCCTAAACCATAAACCCTAAACCCTAAACCCTAGGGCAGAGCAGCAACTTATAGGTTTGCCATCGTTTGCGGGCGACGTCGAACTGAAGGACTTCCCCTGAACCCCAAAGTGTCGACCGCCCGAGCGGAGAAGCCCGAACCCTCTGATCTATATCATACCAGATGCAATATAATATTGCCGTGTACATTGCATGATACATTATGATTCTGAGTATGCATATGTTTATTAATATTCCTATATGTATATATGTATATATATATATATATAACATAAATAGCGTAAAGCCCAGCGGTCCTTCTTAGTCTCGCAAACCACGTGCTCAGGGAGGAACTTGCAGTCCTGCATTCGGACCAGCGAAAAGAATGGCAGAAACACGTGCAAGATAGCATTACATCTCTAGAATCTGGACTCTATAATCCAAAGTCCTGTCGGCCCCCCTAAGCCCTAAACCCTAAACCCTAAACTCTAAACCCTAAGCCCTACAGACTTCCAGACCGAGATTCGAGACAGACACTCGTTAGCTTTACATTTACTGTTTAGAGTTTAGGGACTCACCGGTTTCTTCCAAGCTTCGGCCTTTGGGGTGTAGGGTTTAGGGTCTAGGGTTTCGGGCTGAGGGTTTAGGTCACCCCCAAAAGAGACAAAATGCCTTGACGTGCCTCTGTCTTCTCGTCCGGAAGATCCACGGTCCTGTCCCCGAAGTTCACTTCTTCTTTGGTTTGCAGCACTGTGCCATGTCATATCAGAAAATATGCTATTGCAGTATATGTACATCTATAAAAAATAACTATATGTATATAGATATATAGATTGCATGTTATATCATATACAATATGAATGTTGTGAAGACCATACAGTTACACCAATGCTTCTGGCGGCGTCGTGCTGTGCCCTAAGACCTCTGAATTCCTGAGCTGACTCCGAAAACCCTCAACCCTAGGCCTCTATCTACCTGACTCCAAGTGAGCCCTAAACCCTAAACCCTAAACCCCAAACCCCAAAGCCTAAAGCCTACAGCCTAAACCCTCAACCCTAAAGCCTAAAGCCTAAGCCCTAAACCCTGAACCCTAAGCCCTAAACCCTGAGCCCTCACTCCAAACCCCCAAAGTCGGGAGCCCCGGCCTGCTGGCACTGCCGGCAGCGGTGACATCGGCGATCAAGCACTTCAAGTCGTCTTGCGGCAGTTTCTCCAGCCACTCCTGACTTCGGGTTTAGGGTTAAGCCAGTTAAGCCATTAACTTAGGGTTTAGGGTTTAGGGTTCAGGGTTTAGGGTTTAAGGTTTAGGGTTTGGGGTTTAGGGTTTGGGGTTTAGGGCTTAGGATTTAGGACTTTGGGGGCTTGAGGCCGGTTTCGGGTTCGGAGCTTGGGTTGCTTCGCCACGCTGACGTCTTGGCCCAATTCCCTGCTCCTCACCTTGAGACTATACTCCCCTTAGAACCTTAATGACAATAGTATTTTTAAACATCCTCTTGGGTTTTTGTATCAACAAAAATAAAAGGTCCTTATTTGCTGAGTTTATAAGTCCCCCAAAAAGTGTACACTTTCAGTTCTATAGGGGATTATAGTATCCCAAAAAGTGTAAAGTGTCCTCACTCAGCTACTACCCCTCTAGACCGCAGACAGTCCCAGACAAAAGGGCCTTAGACGAGCCCCCACACCTGGTTGTTGTAGCCTACCCAAGACTGAAAACAAAAAAAACTTTTAGAGCCATGGCTCACAACAAAGAAGATTTGGGTTCTTAAGCCTACTTTGGAGTGGACCCTGGAAAAAAAGAAGATACTTTTTTCGGTATAAGTAGCTTTAATCGACACCCATGGACCAAAAAAGTAGTGGAGTATAGTACTCAGAAATTGAAACCCAGATAAAGGTCTTTTCATATGACAAGACCTAGACCCCCGACTCCACTCCGGAAGACGGGCCTTAATGGGCCTGCCGTTCTTGCCGAAGGTCTTCATGACCTTGATGCCTGCGTCCTGGTGCGTCTAGACACGAGGACGGCGGGAGAAAAACCCTCAACAATAAACCCTAAACCTTAAACCCCACACCCTAAACCCTAAACCCTAAACCCTAAACCCTAAACCCTAAACCCTAAACCCTAAACCGCAAGCCAGCCGAAGGACCTTGGGCAACTCTCGGCGTTTCAGGGCTCTTGGAGGTTCGTGGTACTTATTAACCAATGGTTTAGGGTTTAGGGTTTAGGGTTTAGGGCTTAGGGTTACTGTACTCATAACTGCACTTGTAACTGCACTTGTAACTGTACTTATAACTGTACTTATAACCATGTTAGGGCACTTAAGGGGCTTAATGAGTGGGTTATAAGTACAGTTATAATTGAGTTTGATAAGCACCATGAACCTCGAAGCAGGACCTTCAGGGTCCATGTACCTAAATAAGGAATACTTGGGCCTCAAAGTTTAGGGTTTAGGGTTTCAAGGCCCAAGTGCAGAATAATAAGGTACATGGACCCTTGGGGGGAGTCCTTCGTGAGCCGCAGCACTTCCATCTCGATGGGCTTCTCCAGTGTTTCCCGGAAGGCGAGATCGACTTTTGCTGCCTCTGTCTTGGGGTTTAGGGTTTAGGGTTTAGGGTCTGGGGTTTGGGGTTCAGGGTTTCTAAAATCAGTTACATGGTCCCTTAATATGGGCCCTTACAAGGGGACCCCTCATATACCCCTTATAATCGAACCCAAGGGCCCTTACTTCAGAACCCGTTAAAGAAGGTAAGGGGGCCATATTAAGGGACCATGCAACTACCCTTAGACTCTGTGCGGGCACTGCCTATTTTGGGGGGCTGTGGGGTTCTCAAGGATGTAACCCACCACGCACCACTGCCCAAACCTGCTTCGTGAAACCTACGCACTGAACCCTAAAGCATAAAGACCAGAGGTTGCAGGTTCCCTAGATTGGAGCAGGCGATGTTGCTTCTGAACACAGGATTCCCTGCAGGCTCTAGGATGTGGGCTTCGGAGGTATGTAGGGTTTAGGGTTTCGGGTTTAGGGTTTAGGGTTTAGGGTTTAGCGGTTAGGGTTTAGGGTTAGGGCTTAGGGCTTGGGGTCTAGGGTAGGGTTTAGGGTTTAGGGTTTAGGGTTTAGGGTTTAGGGTTCAGGGTTCAGGGTTCAGGGTTCAGGGTTCAGGGTTCAGGGTTCAGGGTTCAGGGTTCTGGGTTCAGGGTTCAGGGTTCAGGGTTCAGGGTTCAGGGTTCAGGGTTCAGGGTTCAGGGTTTAGGGTTTAGGGTTTAGGGTTTAGGATTTAGGGCTTAGGCTTTGCTTAGTTTAGGGTTTTTGGGTTTCAGGGCGGTTAGGTTTTAAGAGGGTCCCCAAACGAGTAGTTAAAGGCCTTCGCGTGCGCTGAGAGGTCGAAGCAGGCCCGGTCTGCAATGCCCACGCACCTCATGAAGGGATTTTAGGGTTTAGGGTTTAGGGTTTGGGGTTTGGGTTAGGGGTTGGGGTTTAGGGTTTAGGGTTTAGGGTTTAGGGTTTAGGGTTTAGGGTTTAGGGTTTAGGGTGAGGGTTGAGGGTTGAGGGTTGAGGGTTCAGGGTTTAGGATTTTCGGGTTTAAAGTTTAGGGTTTAGGGTTAAAGGTTAAGGTAAGCTTAGAGTGACTGTAACCCAATGAAAAGGGTGCCCTTTTTGCTTTGAAGGGGCTTATAAGGGAACCTAAACCCTAAAACAGGGGAATGAGGGCCTACTCGTCCTAGCTAGGGTAAGCTTAGATTTTTTTGGGCCTAGGGTTTAGGGTTTAGGGTTTAGGGTTTATGCAAGAAGCTCAGCTTCTCCGCAGCCCTGAGCCCCAAAACATGAAAACGGTTGCCCGGCAGACCTCCGAAAGACCATCTGCATGCCAAAGTTCCGAGAGCCTATCTTGTCCTAGAGGTTTAGGGTTTAGGGTTTAGGGTTTAGGGTTTAGGGTTTAGGGTTTAGGGTTTAGGGTTGCCCTAAATACCCGCAGGTAGCCTCATGCCCTCGTAAAGACATCAGAAGCCCGGGTTTAGGGTTGAGGGTTTAGGGTTTAGGGTTTAGAGTTTAGGGTTTAGGGACCACAAACCACAATTCAAGAAGACCCAAGGCCCCAGGGTGCGAGATTTCGGGTTTGTGGCTACACGCTAAACCCCAAACCCAAAACCCCTCAACACCCATTCACCTAAACCCCAAGCCCTAAAACTCAAATCGCCTACACCCGAAAACCCAATAAAAACCCTAAACCCCTACACCCTAAACCCTAAACACCCTATAAACCCTAAGCCCCAAACCCTAAACCCCGAACCCTAAACCCTAAACCCCAAACCCCAAACCCTACACCCTATAAACCCGCCCTACACCCCAAACCCTAAACCCTAAAAACCCCAAACCCCACACCCCAAAACCCCCAAACCCCAAACCCTAAACCCTAAACCCTAACTCCTGGGGCCGCCCGCTCCAGCCAGCCATAGCAGGTCTCGATCTCTGCATCCCAGCCTTGGGGGAGCCATCCAGCTTCAAAACGCGGCCGAAAAGGCGAGAAAGCCGTTTAGGGTTTAGGGTTTAGGGTTTAGGGTTTAGGGGTTGGGGGTTTAGGGTTTGGGGTTTAGGATTTGGGGTTTAGGGTTTAGGGTTTAGCGTTAAATAAAGAACATGATTGTTTTTCCTGCCGAGGGTCTAGGTTCAAGCTTCTGGTTCAAGGTTCTAGCACTATTTATCTGGCCCCTTCATGGGTTCCTTGCCGTTTATTTGCAAGGGGCTAGCGTTCGAGGCGCTGGTCCACTAGACCCAGGAGTAGCCTGGAATACAAAAGGGTGCCCTTTTTGGGTTAAAGGCCTGAAAGGGGCCTAGAAGAGAACCTTAAGACCCCAAAAAAGGGAATGAGGGCCTACTCTGGGTCCTCCATTCATCTTGTCACCAGGTATGTGCTTTAGTTGTGCGTCGGGGGAAGTGGGCATGGGTGGGCCCTGTTTCGGAGTGGCCCGTGCCAACAGGCAACAACGTGCATTCTTGAACTTAAGCCTAAGAAACCCTGAACCCGAAACCCGAAACCCTAAACCCTAAACCCTGAACCCTGGGCTTACAGCTAGACCCTGGAAGGCCCTGAACACTAGTAAGCCCAGATCCCGCATCCAGCTTGGCCAGCTAAAGCCCTCGGAACCAATGGCTTCAGTGTTTTGGGTGTAATTCACAATCCTGAGCCTGATCAAACAAAATCTCCCTCAACCCCAAATAACGAATAAAGGGGCCTTAAAGCACTCACGCCAACCCTAAGCCCTAAACCCTAAATCCTAAACCCTAACCCTGAACCCTAAACCCCAAACCCTAAACCCTAAACCCGAAACCCTAAACCCTAACCGCACATTTAACTAGGAAGTGCCCTCGTTGTACCAGGAACCCGATCCCAGGGCCCCTGCAGTCAGTCGCGTAGTGCGCCATCTCTGTTGGCAGGTGCTGACCTGTACACTAGGGGGTTTAGGGTTTAGGGTTTAGGGTTTTTGTAACGCTAATACATCGGGCCGCACATAGGGTGACAGTACTTGCGCCCCTGTGTAAGGCGCATCTAACCCTTACAACTACATGTCCGAGTTGGCCTAGAACGCCCACCCTTCCCCTTCAGGATGGTCTTTACTTCGGGTATTGGGGGGCGGGGGGGGGGGGGGGGGTTTAGGGCTTGGAGCTGAAAAAAACCCCTAAACCCCCCAATGAATGAGGCCTCTCTGCCTAAGGCTTGGATAAAGGCTTAGGGTCAGAAGGCTCCTTACTATGCTAAGTCTAGTTCAGGGATTTGGGCTCTACTTTCAACTACACGGGCCTGAGGGTTTAGGCTGAGGGTTTGGGGTTTAGGGTTTCGGGTTTAGGCTTTAGGGTGTAGGAGATGCTTTCAAACACTGCTGCTCGCGCTCTTGGCCGCCCGGCGAAAGCGGCAGTGATCGGGCTTGATCCCAAGGCTCACGAGGAAGAGGTACGTCCTTGGTGGGCCGGAAATGAAGGGTTTCCCAAAATCGAAGTACCTTTTCTGGGGTCCCTAAAATCAGGATTGTTTCGTTTTGGGGGTATATTCGGTGGCCACGACCCCGTGATTATGGACTTCAGGCATGGTTTGAGAAGATTTAGGGTTGGGTTGTAGATGTCCCAAAACCAAACCCTATAAACCTTACACCCAAAACACGAAACACACACCTACATGAGCCTTGGATCATCCACCGCCCCACCTACCGAGACCAAGTTTGCACATGATACCTTACTGTAGGTTTAATTGGGGCTTGGTCTAGGATCTTGGGGGTTTAGGGTTTAGGGTTTAGGGTTTAGGGTTTAGGGTTTAGGGTTTAGGGTTTAGGGTTTAGGGTTTCGGGTTTAGGAATCAGGGAAGAAGAGGGCCGAGGACTGAGGGCTTGTGCGCCTTAGGGTTCTGAAGGACGAAAGGATTCAGGGTTGAGGGCGTGCAGGGTATGGGTTGAGGGCTTGGAAATCAGGGGGTGCCCAAGTCGCAGCCACTGAGGCCCTCACCGAGCGATGAAGTAGCCAAGGGTCTCGTTGTTCACCATCCCACCTCAACGGAATATGGGGCTCAATTGTCACAGACCCCCTCCCCCCACCCCGTCACCCCCCTACCAAAAGAAGGCACACAACTCCTAAACCTCAAACACGAAACCCAAAACCCTAAACCCTGCCCCCCTCCCCGATCTGCTCCCTCTTGAAGGCAGCGGAGCGTCTCGCCACCGCATCGCCAATGGCGACCTTCTTGGGAGACCTGGGAGCATGTGGTCGAGGGTTTCGGGTTTTAGGGTGTCGGGTTTAGGGTTTCGGGTGTCCCATGCCATCCCACGCCCCAAAAAAAAGAGCAGGCCGAAGTGAGCATGGGATCCCACAAGCGGGTTCAGGGTTTAACCATGGCAGGGTTCAGGGTTCAGGGTTCAGGGTTCAGGGTTCAGGGTTCAGGGTTTAGGGTTTAGGGTTTAGGGTTTAGGGTTTAGGGTTGAGGGTTGAGGGTTTAGGGTTTAGGGTTTAGGGTTCAGGTTTAGGGTTTAGGGTTGAGGGTTTAGGGTTTAGGGTTTGGGGTTTAGGGTTTAGGGTTTAGGGTCCCCCCCCCCCCCCCCCCCCCGCCCCCCCCCCCCTCCCACAACCCGCTTCGCAACTTCGAAACCTCTGCCACGAAAAGCTCTGAAAGCACTAAAATCGCTCTTCAACCCTAAACCCTAAACCTTAAACCCTAAACCTTAAGCAGCCCTAATTATAACCTTAAACCCTATAAACCCTAAACCTGAAACCCTTGAATCCTGAACCCTGAAGTCTCCGATCAGGGCCCCGAGCCCTCCGGCAAGCTGCTGGTCCGAAGAAAAAAGAAGCAGCTCTAGAGACTTCACCGCCTGGTTTGGGGTTTAGGGTTTAGGGTTTAGGGCATCTCTTCGGAGTTCAGGTTTAGGGGCTGCGGGTTGTGGTTTAGGGTTTAGGGCTCAGGGTTCAGGGGTTTAGAGATTGGGGCATTTCGGTTCAGGCGAACCTGCACAGAGGAAGTGGCTGACGAGTCGGGCTTCAGGGCCGAAGGCTGAACCCGAAACCCTAAACCCTAAACCCTAAACCCTAAACCCTAAAACCCTAAACCCTAAACCCTAAACCCTAAAACCCTGAACCCAGACGGTAGGCAAAGGGTTGAGGACTTTGGGGAGGACCATGGGAGGCTTCTTGAAGAGTCAGGTCTCGTTTTTTTTGAGTCCGTTTCAGCGTGATCGACTCCGGGGGGGCAACCCTCTTTTTTGGAGACCTCCAAATTCAATTCCCACCAACCGAAAGAACTGCCCCTCAACCCTAGGGTTTAGGGTTTAGGGTTTAGGGTTTAGGGTTTAGGGTTACCCTAAACCCTAAAACCAACGCAGACGAAGCCTTGAACTTCTTCATGTCCTTGGCGTTCGGCTTCACGAACCACTCAATCTCAGCCTGGCTACTTCAAGGCTCACTGGTACTTTCCAAGCGGGGTGGCTTAGGGGGGTCAGCGGGCGCAGGGTTTCGGGTTCAGAGCTTAGGGTTGAAACCTGAAACCTTCAGGTACACATCACACTTCTCAGAGCTACCCTTGGCTGCACTCCGAGGGGTAGCTATAAATTTATAATTTTCAGCTGCCTTGTTATTATTATTAAGTATAGAGGTTTTACCAGGGGAATAAGGTTCTAGGGGTCCAACACAGTGCCTTGTAAAGCACCACCGAGTACCCCTGAACCTACGAGTGCCCGATCAGGTGGCAAGCCATGGAGCCTAGCCATGTAAAGACCCCTAGGCGCCACAAGCCTTAACTACAAACTACAAACCCTACTAGGGTCTAACCCTAAACCCTAAACCCTAAACCCTAAACCCTAAACCCTAAACCCTAAACCCTAAACCCTAAACCCTAAACCCTAAACCCTAAACCCTAAACCCTAAACCTTGAATTCTGAAGCTTAGGATTTGGGGCTTGGCTCTGAAATCCAAGCAGCCCTTTTCTGACTACACCAGCCCTCCATGTGGCTCATGGAACTGCTGCTGAAACGGTATGTTGCCCTAAATTCCCAACCCTAAACCTTGAACCCTAAGGCTTGGGTTTAGGGTTTAGGGTTTAAGGTTTAGGGTTCAAGGTTCAGGGTTCAGGGTTCAGGGTTCAGGGTCCGGGTTCAGGGTTCAGGGTTTAAGGTTTAGGGTTTAGGGAGGGACCTCTAATTTTTTGGGTTTAGGTGAGGTTTAGGTGTAATTCGGGATTAAGCAAATACTCGAAACCCTGAAGCTGCGCCAGGGCTTGCACTCTTCATTACAGATCCAGGTGGAGGGTTCAGACCCCGAACCCCGAACCAACCCACAAACCCGAAATCCTAAACCCCGAGACCGCTCTAGCCACCTGCGTGAACTCCCGCTGTCGCGTGAGGCCCTGTCTTGGGGCAATCTCGTTCCGGAAGGATTTGCCCACCTTCGCTTTTTTTGTTTGCAAGTAGGGTTCAGGGTTTGGGGCTCAGGGTTTAGGGTTTAGGGTTTAGGGTTCTCAGGATGTAGCCCGCAAGTTAGAAGTTCAGTTATCGGGGCCCTAAAGAGGGCTGTACGTCTTGCTGGCATTGGTTTAATTCCTTTAGGCATCGTTTGCATCATGGGGGCGCCTACTTGCAGGGAGGGTTTAGGCTGTAGGGCCTGGCATTGTCATGTCGCAGAGCTTGGGCTTTGTGAACCTAAACCCTAAACCCTGAACCCCGTCACCCAACCCTAAACCCCAAGCCCTAAACCCTAAACCCTCAACCACACACTCTAACCACCGAAGAACCTTTTGAAATCTTTTTTAAGGTATAGGGTTTAGCGAGGATAGGCTCTATCTAGGTTTGAAATTTAGACACCCTCTGAAAAAAAAAGTCTCTTGCAAGGATCCATTCTTTACTCCGCAACCCATAAACAACAATCATGAACCGCGAACCCTAAACCCGAAACACGGGTCAGAGCAAACCAAGAGCTCAATCGCACTGCCAAAATAAGGGATTTCAGGGTTTGGGTTCTTGAGGGACGGGGGTTCAAGGGGGCATGTAACCCAAGGTTTCGTACACTCCCTACTCCTCCCCGAGCCCCATGAACCTCGGAGCCCTAACCCTAAACCCTAAACCCTAAACCCTAAACCCTAAACCCTAAACCCTAAACCCTAAAACTAACTCTAGTTACCTACCCCCATGATCCACCCTCCCTTAAGAACCCTATAAAGGGAGGCTCTCAGAGGTGAGTTTGAAGGTTTCAGGGGGAGTTGGGCTTCGGGTGTCATGCTTAAGGATCTTAAGGTCCAGGGCTAAGGCTTCAACAGCCATTTCAAAAAAAAAAAAAAACATCTTCTGCAACCCTCACAAAGGGTTTAGGGTTTAGGGTTTAGGGTTTAGGGTTTAGGGTTTAGGGTTTAGGGTTTAGGGTTTAGGGTTTAGGGTTTAGGGTTTAGGGTTTAGGGTTTAGGGTTTAGGGTTTAGGGTTTAGGGTTTAGAGGTTGGGGTTTGGGGTTTAGGGGTTTTAGGGGTACTAGACCTAGACCTGTGCTTCGACCCTCAGCCCTTGGATGTCGGTTGTGGGCATCGCCTGGGCAACGCCAAAGGGCAAGCGTCCGGCATTCTGCTCGAGACAAAACCTGGAGCCAGCACGAATCATGGGGCTTTACCTCGGACCCCTAAACCCTAAACCGTAAACCCCAATTAAACCCTAAACCCTAAACCCCAAACCCTAAACCGGACCCCTAAGGTCGTACCCTGAGGTTTGGTGGCCCGGTTTAAAGGTCCTCTAAGGGACTGTAAGGGCCAGATTAGGAAGATTAAGGGAAGCTCTTGAGGGGGTACGTCCTTAGGGGTCCGAGTATGACTCAAGTGAATGAAGTGGCGGGTTTAGGGTTTAGGGTTTCCATCCCCCCCCCCCCCCACCCACCCAAGCACCCTCTAGAAATACCCTTGATACCCCACCCCCACCTCCCCCCGCGGGGGCCTCACCCCAGTGTATGCCCTAGAGGTTTAAAGGTTGCAGGCTCACCAGCGGGACCCCCCCCCGGCACATGTCAAGAGGACTTGAAGCCTACAAAAGCCGCAGACAGTTCGGGCTCTGTGGCTTAGGATTTCGCGTTCATGGTTTAGGCTTTGGGGCTGGAAGAAGAGCGCATTGCCGCATTGAGCGGCATGCTCTCCGCGTGCGCCTCAAAAACAGTGCAGGCAATGTGTTTAGCTCAGCCAGCCACTAAACACATGCATTAAACAGAGACATGAGGCTCAAAACTTCAGCGAAAACGGGGTGGAGGAGGGAAAAAACAAGCATACAGGAAAACAGAGCATATTTCACGAATGCCGTCAGGCGCTGCAGCCATCAATTCCTGGAGAACCGAAAAGGGGAGGGGAACAAGACAGAGCAAACAGAAAAAACTATTCAACAACAGCGGGAGGACTCTCGCTGGTGCGATAGTACAGATCCTAGTAATGAGCATATGTCGCAGAACGGGGGCCCTGAACCCAAACCCTAAACCCTAAACCCTAAACCCTAAACCCTAAACCCTAAACCCTAAACCCTAAACCCTAAACCCTAAACCCTAAACCCTAAACCCTAAACCCTAAACCCCAGCTAGGCCGCCAACTTGTAGTTCAGGAAGATACCCTGTGCCGTCTCCGGGCGGAGATACCTGCGCGAGCCCATGCAGCAGACACCATGTCAATATTCACAGAGATTGTAGTTGTTTAGGGTTTAGGGTTTAGGGTTTAGGGTTTAGGGTTTAGGGTTTGGGGTTTGGGGTTTAGGTTTAAGCATGATCACTTGGTGGCCCAGTAACCATATTATATGAAGGGCGCCATTTTGGGGGGTTGGCTACTTCATAAGGGAACTTGGAACCAAAAAAGAAAAGGTACCGCCGGGCCACCAAGATCACGGAATCACAGCTGTGTGTGACTACTGCATGGGCACAGATGGCTACCTCTAAAACCTAAATTACTAAAGGACGGGGCGCAGTAGCCTTTGAGCAGGTATCGGTGGTATCCCCCCGAAAGTATTCAGAGGCAAAGCTCAAAGCCTTCATGCCATGGATCCCACGCTTTGGGCTTCGAGGGCTTAGTGTTGCACAGGGTTTAGGATACCAAGTCCCTGTAAGGAGGGCACCCTCCGTTACTAGCAGAGTGATAACGCTCATAAGGGCCCTACATTTGAGAACTTAACATAACTTAGGGTTAAAAGGCCCTTAACCCTAAACCCTAAACCCCTAAACCCCTAAACCCCTAAACCCCTAAACCCCTAAACCCCTAAACCCCTAAACCCCTAAACCCCTAAACCCCTAAACCCCTAAACCCTAGTGGTATGGGCGGCCCGTGCTCTAGACCCTAAGCCCTCCCACGGCGCGCCCTTGGATCAAGCCCGCCGGGCCAATGGGCGTGGGAAACCTCGAGCGTTCCACGAAGTGTTGGGGATGGCGACGGTTTGGGGGGGTTAGGGTCTCGGGTTCAGGGTAGGGTGGTTTCGGGTTTAGGGGTTTAGGGTTTAGGGTTTAGGGTTTAGGGTTTAGGGTTTATGTTTTCTTGTACAAGCCCGAAAACGTCGAACTATCCTCCTTGACGTCCCGCAATCTGCATCGTGGGCTCGGATCGGTGCAGATAAGGTCCCTTCCAAGCTCCAAGCTTCAAACCACGACTCCTCTTTCTTCCATGTCAGTCCCAAGTAGCTCTGACCGGTTTAGGGCTTTCCCTAAACCCCAAACCACATTTTCGCAAACAATACCATCTTCCTGACGGTCGTATGCCTATCCAAATCCTATACACACTAGCAGATTACCCTATGCTTATCCATGCATACAAACATCTCGAGCTAGTTGCTCCAAGTTCGGGGGCCTTGTTGGTAAACTCTAAGACTCCAAGGTGTAAGGAATAAACATTTCTTTGAGCCCGCCCCCCACCTTCTCCCCCTTCCCTTCCCCTCCCCCCCCCCCCCCCCCCCCCCCCCCTCTAAACCCTAAACCCTAAACCGTAAGCCCTAAACCCTAAACCCTAAACCCCCTCCCAGGAGCCCAAATTCTGCGGCCAGAGTCGCATCAAGTTGAAGGGCTCCGGGTCGGTCAGCTTGTTGCCAGACTGCGGATTTCAAACCCTAAACCCTAAACCCTAAACCCTAAACCCTAAACCCTAGGGTTTAGGCCCCAAAAGCCGCTCTTCGAGGCAGGAAGCCCAAGCCAACCCATGTGTTTAATAGAGGCCCCTAGCTGTACGTAAACTGACAAGGACCCTTACTTGGGTTATACGTGATAAGGGCCTACATTGGTTTGTCAGTTGATCATTTAAGTTGTAAGCCCCTTCACAACAGTTAGTATAGTAAGGGGAGGGGCTCTCCTTGTAGGCTGGGGGGGGGTTACCCGTCAGCTTATGGTCAGGGTACCCATGAAGGGCCTATCTTTCACGCCGGCTCCTGTTGCACCCGCACTCCTATATTTCGATACGACCAGTTGCAAAGGCAGAATTCCCATCTCCGCAGTCCTCACCTCCAAATGAGCCTCAAATAGCTCTAATTCCTAAACTGGGGTGGGTTTGGGGGCCCTGGAAGAGTTAATTGTTTATGGCTTTCCAAGAATTAGATAGGGGATTAAAGCAGGAAATCTGCTCAAAGCTACCCCTGAGACCCCCCAGAGGCCCTAAACCCTAAACCCTAAACCCTAAACCCTAAACCCTAAACCCTAAACCCTAAACCCTAAACCCTAAACCCTGAGAGGCCCTGCACCCCAAGCAGGTGCCAGGGGCGCGGCCTCGGGTGATCGGATGTCGTACTTCCTGCAAGAGCTGAGGGCTTCGGATTTCATTACCCTGGACCAACCCTAAACCTGATTATTGCGGTTTAGGGTTTAGGGTTTAGGGTCTAGGGTTTAGGTTTTAGGGTTTAGGGTTTAAGGTTTAGGGGCTAGGGTGATTTCAAAACCCTTCGGGTTTAGGGCTTAGGGTTCAGTGATTGGGCTAACCCCTGATGTCGAGATGACTTGCACGGCTTCGTCCTCCCCAAATTGAAACCTCGAGCCCCTACAAAGCCCGAATGCCGCAAGCACCTGTGAGGCCGAAAGCCCCCAAGACCCTAAACCCTGAACAAACCCCTAAACCCTAAACGCCAAACCCTACAAACCCTAAACCCTCAACCTGTAACCCTGAACCCTCAAGCCCCCCCCCCCCCCCCCCCCCCCCCCGCCAAAGGGGGCCCGCAGCCCAAGCAGCCCCCCCCCCCCGCCCAATTATAGGGCGGTTCTTCGTGTGAGAACTGAAGGCACATCCTTGTTGAACCGCAACCCCTTAAGACCTGAGAGTTTAGGGTTAGGGTTTAGGGTTGATAATCCCGAATTTGAGCCAAACGGTTTTGCTAAAGCACTGGAGTCGGTGCCTTTGCGGTGCCCGAGCCTGTAATGAATGTGTGCGCTATAACAGAGGCCCTACGAAATTTAACCGGAGCAGTGATTTTTGGGCTTCTGGGGGTTCACGGCTGTTTGGGGTTGGGTTTCGGGTTTGAAGTTTAGGGCCAAATTTCTGCGGCCGATATGAGATTACTCAGCCATCAACGCCGGCACCAAAGCCAGAAACCCTACCACCCCGAGACCCTGAATCATAAACACTGAACCCTACACACCCTGAAGATTGAACCAGAATCCCGAACTGTGGGACTGCAGCTCCTGAAGATCTCGGTGATCTCTTCTTGCGAGTAGGCATCTGCTTGGTTCCTGCCACACCAGCAGCATCGGGGCAACTCGAAAAACATAGACCGCCTGCATTCATGTCAGCCCGGCAAGGTCTTGATTCAATCACCCAGCTCCGGGAAATTACTCCAAACACAACTTGCAAACCCAACCCAATGTGGGGGGTTTCCCACAATCGGTCCCTTATAATCGGGACCCCCAATAAGGGTATTCTTGACTCTCTTGTGCAGGTCCACCCTGCCTTACAACTGTGTACTCTTTCACCTTGTCCTCTGCGAGGCCCTTTTCCTGCGCCAGTGCTTCCGTGAGCTGCGTGAGTGGAACCTAAAGCCTAAAGCTGAGTCCGTAAACCCAAAACCTAAACCGTCTGCAAGCCAGAGCTTTCACAGCGTCATGCGAGGCTGACATGACATTAGGGCTTAGGGCTTAGGGCTTAGGGCTTAGGGCTTAGGGCTTGGGGCTTGGGGCTTAGGGCTTAGGGCTTAGGGCTTAGGGCTCAGGGAGGGTGGGAGGGGGGAGAGGGAGGAGACACCCCAAAAAGGGACGAAGTGGTCTTGCTCACTTGGCGCAGCGTCCGGGAAAACTCGCGGGAAAAGCGCCCTGCCACAAACAGAAGCCCAACGAAAACGCCCAGCTCGCCTTCAGCTTCTCTTCCATGACATCCTTTGTTTGGGGTTTAGGGTTTAGGGTTTAGGGTTTAGGGTTTAGGGTTTAGGGTTTAGGGTTTAGGGAGTCCGTGGGCGGCGGGGGGGAGGGTAAGGGTTGGAAGCCCAAAGCTGCGGCATCTTAAGCTTGGCTTCCAAAAAACGGTGTGCACATGTAGTTAACTCTAAAGCTCCCTCTGCCCACACAAACAAATAGAAAAAAAAATGCATAAATAAATAAATGAATAAATAAATAATAAATATATATATATATATATGTATATATATATATATGTATATGTGTATGTGTGTGTTGTCTA